GCTGAAAGCCAGTCCTGGAGGAGCACACAGTAAGGAAAGCTGGGCAAGGCCAACTTCAAGGAATGTGAGATCCTTGACAAAGACAAGTGGAGATAAGCTCTACAAAAACTGTTCTTCTGCAGTTTGCAGAGTGTTCACTTTTTCCCTGTGACTTGTGTTTTCCTTTTGTGTGGGCAACAAAGGCCTCTTCTCTTGCAATTCCAGTTCAGTAGACCAAAGGAAGGAGTTACTGGTACTCCAGAGATTCAGATCAGTGAAGTTCAAGTCCAAGAGCTACCTGAATTCATAGCCACAGCCAGTTAGGCTGGTTCTTCCTTCCTGGTTAACAGGCTTTTCAATTAATTCCTCACCTACTAGCAAATTCTCAGTGTTTGCCAGCATGCCCCTCTGAAAGGCGCTCCTGGAGTTGCACTGGTGTGGTGGAACCAAGCGTTAACATCGCTGTCTGTTCCTGAACGAGTAAGGTAAGAAGAAAGTCTCCACAAGCCAGGCAGTTCCCTTCTTGCCATCGCTACCCTTGCCCAGTGCTGCGCCGCTCCCTCCCCCAGCCCTGCATTGCCTCCCTTTCGGTCCAGGACAGCACAGCCCCTGAGCAGGGGCATGGGGAGGTACTGCTGCCCCGTGAGAAGACAGGCCTGTTTCTGGTAGGTGAAGAAAAGTATCAAACGGGTATTTGATCCGAACAGCAAGTACTGTACAACTAATGCAGAGAGATGTACTAAAGCAATTTTTTATGACCACAGATGGGGTCAGCCATGCGACAGAGTAACAAGCGGCATGCCCAAGCGCAAGTGTTACAGTGAGAACTTTAACAGAAATTTTTCTTCTAATTATCTTTCACATTCTGGTCTCTATATTGAAGGCATCTGAAACAGACAATGCATAAGAATTCCATTCTTTAGCTGTTCTGTAACTTAAAACTTCTATTCAAGAAAATAGTGTAAGAATAAAATCTCAGTGCAATAGCCTCTGAAATGTTTCATATCATAGATAAAAATTATGTTTAACAAAATCACTTTATACTTTTTCTTGAGCCAAAACTCATTCTTTGAAAACGTATTTCACTTTCAATGTTTGTGCTGTGTAAAACAACAAGCATAACACGGAGTCATTGACTTTTTTTGTTATACTTGGGAATCATGGCTATAATGTCGCTTAGCAACAAAATAATCTTCCAGGCTGGCTGATAAAATGTGACAAAGTTTTGATTGTTTTTCATAGTGTTCAGGAATGGATCTGGAATACTGGTCTTGAAATCTTGCTGTTAATTTTCTAGTATTTTCTGAACTTACTTGTAGTAAATCCTTAAGACTACCATCCAGTGGTTAAGAAATGACTGACATGCACTGTATTGAAAGAAAAAGATTAATCAAAACCCCAGGATCTGTCCCTAAAGAAAACATACTAATCTAGATGTCAGACGCAACCCAAGCAGGTAACAAAGGTGAGGTGGTGATACAGCAGCAGGGAGGGAGCGGTCTGGCAGGGCCAGCTGTTAAGAAGAGGACAAGTGGCACCTGCTCTAGCTCTGTGAAGTGCCTTTAACAACCTCTGTCCCAGGAACCGCGCTGTGGCCGCGGGCAGCTTGGCAGGTGGCTCCACTTCTCTCTCCCTGCTGGGGC